ATTTCTCTGGGTTGTGGTGTGTTATTCATTGTACAGTTTTCGTGATTCGCCAGGACGGATATACACTCGAACGAGTGGACGTATACGGTTTTGAACAACACGCCGAGCGCGAGACGGTCGTCGTGGTGCGCGGCGCAGAATGCTACGTCGGACGGAACGACAATCCCTCTTTCAGTTGCGTTGCGTTTCCTTCCCCCAAAAACCATTTTTTATCATAAAGGGTTGACGGCGATTTTTGTTCTAAAATCCCATGCTCAGTTGGTTCAGAGCCACTCGGAGAACTAGCTGATACCATTTGGCATGCCATTGGCCCATCGGGGTACAACAAGGTGCGATGAGCACGTGTCGTGTCTATTTGACGACGATGGTGACGGGATGCGAGCAGGACTACGTTTATGACCTCTCTGCCGCTGTGCGCGCGCTTGCGCCGGAAGCGCATGATTCGCACCTCTTTGCACTCGAGGTGCGTTCTTTGCCTCTCAACCCCCGCGGGATGGGACTCGATTAGTTAGGACATGCTCATTGAACCCATTAAATCCTTGCAGGCACGCTTGCGCGAGTTAGATCGCGCTAGAAGTAGTAGTTTCGAGTCCTAAATTACCACGCGGCATACACAATGAGACAGGACTACTCGGCATATTTTTGAATACTGCTGTGCCTTGACTGAGATCACCTATGTACTACCTACACGACGTCATGGACGGGGCGACTCGCTCAGCACGCCCCCGTATCGAGTCCCCTTCGCCCTGGAATCGCCATTGTCTACGATCCCAGGCGAAAGCCCCAACAGTGGCGAGCGTTCGTCAGCGTTTTGATTTACGGGGTCGAGTCTGCGTTGTCTCTCGACGATCCTGTAACGATGATCAGTATCGTCAGCACGACGTAAGTGAAACAACAGCGCACCCTCGCATCACTGCGGCCGTGGTCATGCGCTTGGCACGGCGCTTCGATTGGTTGTCCTCGTATTGGTCCGTCTCGTCGACGATCTCTTCAGAGATGATCTCCTCGATAATGTCTGTATGTGTGCGTTTCCGCTTGTCATCACAAAGGCATTTTATTTAATAGTAGAACAAAGACGTGCCTTCAAGGGTAATGACACCGATTGCACCACCAGCAATTCCGGGGGTATTGCTCACGAGCAAAAGGTGCGCACGACCCGTTTGGCTGTAACTGAGATCAGCACGCAAGTTCAGCATGCGAGTAGGCAGAGCCTACGCACAAATAATCCAGCGCTTGAAAGCAGTTGATCGTTGGTCGTGCCTCTGGTAGGATTAAGAGCTGAAATTTAGACACGGGCCAGCATTGCGACGGGTCATAGGTCAGCAGCTATCGGCAAAGCTTTAAGCACGGCCTATTGGCGGTGAAGACGTCAGATGAAATCTGACCTTCTTCACCAGTAGTAGGCCAACAAATGCCATAGGATTTCCTGGTTCATGAACTGGAAAGCGAGAGTAGCCACTCATTAGTCTGTATCTCGACCATCAACAATCTGCTCAACAATCGAATTCGCCAACGACACGCACAAAAACTCAATCATTTTTGCGTCCAAGATGGCGTCAGAACTAAGTGCGAGAACGTCCTGCACATGCCATTGGGTAAGTCAATTCGTCGCTGCCACATTTCGACGCACCTTCATTGGGGTCATGATAGTTTCCACCCTTTTTGAATTGAGTTCCAAGACGCCATTTAAGATGCTAATCTCGTCATCACGCAGTGGCTCTTTGCCGGTGCGGTGAAATTGCAGGAAGGACTTTAGCTCTGCTTTTTTGTACGTGTGCAGGTCGCTTTTGCCGAGGACATGGTCGAGAAGCTTGGCTATTGGCCATGCGATTGGAGCTGGAGAGCATGAGATTAGCATCGAGTGAAAGATAGCAAGAAAGCGCCGAACCGAAAAGGTACATGAGTGTAAGGACGACCGGTACGCAACGAGCGCCGATGGAGAGGCCATAGCGTACGCTTGTGGCTTGAGGGATGATTCTATTATCATATTTAGCCAACTGTGAAGGACGTACAAAAAGGTGAAGGCGTACTCTCTATTTGGCAAGAAGTGGTATTGATTTGGTAAGGATTGAAGCTAAACGCCAAAAGAACGTAAAGCCATACCCGAATATAACTAGACAGGTCAACGATAAGCTCTGGATAAGTTGATAAACGTAATACCGATCATAGTTGTCGAGATAACAATGGCAGCAAGACCTCCTCCAAGCTACAAAAATTTCAGAGATGAATGCTGGATATATGCTTCGTTCGGACTCACGGCACTGTCTAAAAATATCGGCAAACTCTCGTTTACGATCTAGGCCTCACATTAGCCGAGATAAGTGGATTCAAATTTCGTGGAAATGCTCACGACGTTGCCGAGCAACAAGACCTGCGATACTATGAGTCGTCGGCAAAAAGAGCCCTGGGACATCTTACCACGAGTACCCAATGGCGGCCTTTGTTAAGCAATTTCAAAACTGGACGGCGTGGCAAGTGAATAATAGCTTTACCCTCGACCCAGCCACGTTTGACACGCACCTTTGGCCGCGTTTTTCCTCTCCGCCTCGTTTTCGGATGACATGGAGAGGACACGGAGATGGAGTCCGTCAAGACCCATGAGACCAAGGGTTAACCTGGAATCAAGTTACGCGCGGAGAGAGCGAAGAATTAACAGCGTGTACAGTTTTTCCCACAGGGCGGTGTTTTACGCACCCGGAAAATACACCTCCTAAAAGCACCAAGAAGGTACTTATGATCATCTTGCACCAAAATTCCGGAGTGCCGAACTCTTCCCCCGTCCGGGCCGGGTTGGAGTCTTGGCTAGACGGGTTGCCATCGGGGGCTAAGGGAAACGAGTGAGAGGTGAGGAAAGTAGTCAAGAGGGGCATGGGGTGAGAAATTTGAAAAGTAAAGGGATTAGATATATATATATCAAGGGGTACGGCATGACTCGCCAACTCTCTTATCGTCACTTTGTCTGCCACCAGGTGGATCATCACATGACTGATGTTCACTGGCTTGGCACGTCGTCTACTAATGGTAAATTCACTCGAGAAAAGTAGATCGTTATCCCCGACACAACTACCATTAGATAAAAAACATCCCTTGGCATTCCCAGGCAAACGAATCAAGAAGAGGAAATACACTCCCCCAGAGCCAGGATCCCCAGACGATGTCATCTTACGACAAGTCGTAGCTCTCCTCGGAGAAGAATTCGTGGCAAGGGCGGAAGCTGATGGCACCGATTGGGACTCGCCTTTCGGCTTTAGAGAGCAAGTTGAGCTCACCGTGTCAAGCATCTCGTCCAGCGGTATGTCCTCACTCTCAGACCCGTCTCTTGCACAATCCCGCCCACCCCTGGATCTTTCACGTGTTCTGCCAGCATTGTTGCTAACGCAAACCCGCCCGAACAGGTGAAGGGCTCGCCCTTTCCCCCTCATCGAAGCGCCCATGGATCGTTGTCATTCCGTTCACCTTGCCCGGGGAGGTCATCAACGTTCGCGTTTACAGGCACGCAAGGTTGCATTCCTTTGCCGACCTGGTCAATATTCAAGTTCCAAATTCTGAACTGAGAGACATGAGTCGTGTCAAGTGCAAATACTTTGGGACCTGCGCCGGATGCCAGTATCAGGTACAATTCCTCGAGGTAGCTGGGCTTTGCGCGCTGAATATTGAACACTTATTAATAGATGCTATCTTATGAAACTCAGCTCGATCTCAAGCGAAACGTGGTTGAAAAGGCTTACCAGAACTACTCCGGTCTCCCCGAGTCATCGCTACCAGTCATACAATCGACGATTCCCTCTCCTCTACAATATGGCTATCGCACTAAGATTACGCCACATTTTGACCCCCCGCCAAAAAAGGTACAGAGCGGAGGCTCATCCGTCAATGAGGAGAAGCCGTCTTGGCTCAAGATCGGCTTCAATCAAATTGGCAAGCGAACTGTTATGGACATCGAGGTATGGTGCGTCAATTGTGGGGCAAATCAAGCCTCGAGATTGACGAACAACAGGAATGCCCTATCGCAACCCCGGTTCTGAACGACGCTTACCGCCCAATGCGCGACGACATCGCAAAGTGAGTGTTCTGAAACTGACCTCACCTTTTCCCTGAATCGGCGTCACGCAGAAAAATATACACTTACAAAAAGGGTGTATCTCTCTTGCTCCGCGACTCTCTCGAAATTCCGGGCGGCAACTCCTCTAAGGCCACCACGGAACTCGCCGCCGGAGACAATCACGTCTGCATCACGGACCATAAGGCAACCGTGCGCGAACGCGTCGGCGACCTCCTTTTCGACTACCAAGCCGGCTCTTTCTTCCAAAACAACAACTCTGTCCTTGTCCCACTTACATCGTACGTCCGCGACGCCATCTTCCCCCCCACATCATCCACGTCCACATCGACCGCCTCGCCTCCTCCAACCCACCTAGTAGACGCCTATTGCGGCGCAGGGCTCTTCGCACTCACCCTCGCCCCACACTTTACCAAAATCGCCGGGATCGAGCTCTCCGCCGACTCGATCCGCTTCGCGGCTCACAACGCCACGCTCAACAACCGTTGTTTTGAAACCGCGCACCAAAAAAAAGAAATCTCATTCCGAGCCGGCGACGCCGCGCAAATCTTTAGCGCCGTCGCGGACTTCCCGCCCGAGCGTACCGCGCTCGTCGTCGATCCGCCGCGTAAAGGGTGCGACGAGGCGTTTTTGAGGCAGCTTTTGGAATTTGGACCGCAGACGGTCGTATATGTGAGTTGTAACGTGCACACGCAGGCTAGGGACGTCGGCCAGATCCTGTCGTGGTCGGCAGAGCAGGCGGCGGCGGCGACAGGGGCGGGGAAACGTGAGGGGAAGAGGTATGTGCTGGAAAGTCTGAGAGGCTTTGATTTGTTTCCGCAGACAGCGCATGTGGAGTCTGTGGCAGTTTTGAGGCTTGTAGTATCTTGATCGTGGTCGTTCGGCTCGAGCGCTCCACCAAGTGCAATTTGGATATGTTTATGTTGAGGTATCTTATCGATCGGATATGGTGTAACGGCTAACATTACCGCCTCTCATAGGCGTTAGTCCTGATCGCGGTAGCTCGGGGTTCGATTCCCCGTATCCGAATATTTTTGTTTATGTTAATGAGATATCTCGCTCGTTCTTTCCTGCGTCTGCTCAGTTTCTCATTAGCTCTGGCTTTCACTCTGTGCTGTACGGTGACCAATGACAAGGATGGGCAGTGATAGGTTACACAGAGACAAACTAGCCAGCTTGTGCCATTATATTAGAACCTACACTATAACACTATACACTAGCTGGACAGAAATATAGAAAAAGGCTTTCGCTAATTCTATTTAGATCGAGTGATCATAAACTGTAGCCCAATCCGATCCGTGTACAAAGTTTGTCATATCAAGAAAAGTGTCATGTCTGCCTCCAATCCATAAAGTATGAGCTCTCTCAAAATATGGCCGGTGAATATGAGGGATCCACAGAAGAAGTTCACCGCCATCCCCACACATCCAACCATCCTTATTAACCGGAATCTTGTTCATAAAATCGGCCTTCTCGATGTCTTCTGTTCTGACACGGGCTGCGAGATCTCGCTGGATTGAAGTGGTGCACTGCCCGTCCGACGACAGTGCAGCAGACTCGACCGACTTGGTGGACCCAGTAGACGAGCCTGCCACTCCTGTTGCGACATCCCACAGGCGAATCGTGTAATCTGCTGAGGCTGAGACCAGGCGCTTCCCGTCCGATGAGAATGCGACCGAAGCGACATCCTTATAGTGTCCAGTCAATGGGATTGCTTCGACTTCTCCCGTTGAGGCATCCCACATGCGAATCGTGCGATCTCCCGAGGCTGAGGCGATACGTTGCCCGTCCGGTGAGAGTGCAACAGAATTGATTGACCGAGTATGTCCAATAAATGGACCTGCTACAACCTCTCCTGTTGTAGCGTCCCACACGCAAATCGTCTCATCTGCTGAGGCGGAAACAATGCGTGCCCCATCTGGCGAGAATGCAATAGAGTTGACCCAATCGGTGTGCCCAGCAAATGGGCCTGCTACAACGTCTCCTGTTGCAACATCCCACACGCGAATCGTGTGATCAGATGAACCCGAGGCGACGCATTTACCGTCCGGCGAGAATACAACAGAGTTGACCAGATCGGTATGCCCAGTAAATGGGTCTGCTACAACGTCTCCTGTTGCAGCATCCCACACACGAATTGTACGATCAAATGAGCCAGAGGCGATCTGCTGCCCATCTGGAGAGAATGCAACAGACCTGACAACATTGGTGTGGCCAGTAAATGGGCCTGCTATAACGTCTCCTGTTGCGGCATCCCACACGCGAATTGTGCGATCAGATGAACCAGAGGCGATCTGCCGTCCGTCTGGAGAGAATGCAACAGACCAGATATCACCGGTTTGCCTGGTAGACGCGAGGACCTCTCCTGTTAAGGCATCCCACACGCAAATCGTGTGGTCCACCGAGGCTGAGGCGATGCGCTGGCTGTCTGGCGAGAATGAAACAGAAAAGACAGCATCGGAGTGCCCAGTAAACAAGCCCGAGCTCGTCACCACCTCTCCTGTTGCGGCAGCCCACATGCGAATCGTACAATCGGACGAGGCCGAAGCGATACGCTGCCCATCCGGCGAGAACGCCACAAAATAGACCGAACCGAAGTGCCCAGTAAATGGGCCCGCTTCAAGCTCTCCTGTTGCAGCATCCCACACGCACACCACACGCTCGGGTGAAATTGAAGCTGAGGCAACGTGCTGACCGTCAGGGGAGAATGCAACAGAACGGGGCATTCCAACTGACGACATGCTCGCTACGACCACTCTTGTTGTGACATCCCGCACGTAAATCTTGTAATCGTCCGAGGCTGAGGCGAGACGTCGCCCATCCGGCGAGAACGCAATAGAGTTGACCCAACCGGTATGTTCAGTAAACGGGCTCGTTACATCACCTCCTGTTGTAGCATCCCACAAGCAAACGTTGTAATCATTTGATGCCGAGGCGATCCACTGCCCGTCCGGAGAGAATGCAACGCAATTGACCCAATCAGTGTGTCCAATAAATGGGCCTGCTACAGTCTCCCCTGTTGCAGCATCCCATACGCGAATCGTGTGATCGGACGAACCCGAGGCGATGCGCTTCCCGTCAGGCGAGAATGTAACAGACGTGACCGGTCCGGTGTGTCCCGTAAATGGGCCTGCTACGACCTCTCCTGTCGCGGCATCCCACACGCGAATCGTGCGATCACTTGAAGCTGAGGCGATGTATTGCCCATCCAAAGAGAATGTGACAGAATTGACCCAATCGGTGTGTCCAGTAAATGGACCCGCTACCAACTCCCCGGTCGTGGCATTCCACACACAAATCGTGCGATCTTTCGAGGCTGAGGCAACCCGCTGTCCATCCGGAGAGAATGCAACAGACTGGACTGAATCATCATGTGCCTCGATCGTCATTTCCAATGCTGGCCAATGAGATAACCGCCCGCGTTCCAGGGATAATGTCCGAGGAAATAGGTGATCATAACGGATGAAGATGTGGGAAGAGCTTGGTGTAAAAGGTAGAGCCGAGATGTATATATGCGGAGCGCTCTTCGCTATCGCCATCCCAAAATATCGCACAAATGCGGAACCATCATTCACCAATTCCAACAAATCATCCACCTCAGTTTCGGCAGTCTGTTGCGATTATACCCAATAGTTACTACATGTCGTGCTCAATTATAGCATGCACGTACCTTTCCCTGGTTAGGCTGTAACCATATGTTCAGAGATGACAACGCTCGTGAGGAAACGCCTAGAGTGCCGTTGACGCTAAGCACTTCCAACCAAAACAAAAACTTCGCCTCGAACAAGGATCGAAACTTTATGAAGAGATCGCGTTCGAAGGGAATATGTTTTAAATGACCGTCCCACGAAACGCAGGCATACGATAGGGCAGGTGGAATGTGTCTAGCAATTCGACATTTGATTTCTGGAACGTCGATGTTCGGAAAATACGATGACTCGAGTTCACAAATGTTGAATTTGAGCTTGTCCAGCATTAAAGCAATGCAGGAATGAGCCAACTGACGATGGGCTTCGCCAATGTCGACGTAGAAAACATCACTTTTCTTGCTTGTTAGAAAGTCACGGAATGATGTGTGGAGAGGAACGATGGGACCTGTTTGATCAGATGAAGTGACATTGCTCAGGAGTGAGCCGAGGTGATGCAGCATTTCAACGACAGGACGAGGGTCGTCGGGTTTATCAATGGGGGCATGCCGTCGTAGAGCAAGTAAAGAATCCAGGGAGAGCGGTTCGATCGCGGCAAAAAGCTGTCCCATGACAGATCGAAATAGAATCTGTGCTTTATGCGGTTTGAAGTACTGCTTGAGAACTTCTTCGTATAACTCGTCCAACGGATCTTGTGCGTTGCAATCTCGAGAGTGTCCCAGCAGGTGCTGTATGCACTCTTCCTCGCTGAAGCCAAAACTAGCAGGAGGGCTATTTATGAACCCGCACGCAATGGCTGCCCATTGAAACAAGCCCTGTGCCGCCTTCGCTAGTTTGTCACCATGCTCTTTGAATATCTTCGGAGGGAGCTGCTTCTTAAGATACATGGTAATATCTCGCTCCGTCTTGGAAGCCAGATTGGGGTCATTCATGTAGATGGTTTCAATAGATGACGCTTTGTCGAACGCAGATTCGATCCCATTCTCCGGCCTCGAGGTGATTAGGACGCGGAATTCTGATGGGAGGTCGGCCAGATGCTGTGCGAGAAACGTGTGTAAGCCAACTTTGCCAGTTGCGTCCCCACTCTCATCCAAGGCATCGACGATGATAAGAACTGGACCAGAAAGTGCCAGGTTCTTGAGTGGCTCGAGAAGGAGACGCGCAAAAAGGGTACGATAATCTCGGGTACCACGAAGAGACGATTTATCCTTGATAACCCTCCCGAGCGCGTGTTTGAACGCAGGATGGACATCGGAGAGATCCCGAGCAAGTGTCGTGAAAAGTTGATAGGCCTCATCCTTGGAACCCTCCTTCCGCAGAAAAGCAAAGTAACAGGCGAGGCACCTGTCGTCGAACCGACGTGCAACTTCATGCGCTATCGAGGACTTTCCTGTCCCTGCCTGGCCAAGGAGAACGAGCCCACAATTAGATCTTGGTTTCTCAATCCACTTGACGATGTGATCCAGAAAGTCTTCGCGTGTGCCCTCGAGACAGCGCTTCTCATCGCCGAATTTCCAGCCTCCTTTATAAGGCAATTCGCTGATTTTTGCGTCCAATTCTGTGTGTCCCTTGTTAGAGTGATGACCCCAAGATCCTGTGACTATCGGAACTCACGAGCTTCTAGCACAGCAACCCCGGTACTGACAGCCGTATATGCAAGGAAATGGTCTCGTTGTCGGACGAGGTCGGTGCGGAATTGTTGAACTTTTTCATCAACCTGGCCGACCACATTCTTTAAAATCCGCCTTCCTGTAAATCACATATATATAATGATCCCGGATCGACCAAGGAGAGGAGTCAAGACAACGTACCGACTTGAACATCCTCCGCATACGACCTAATAAATCTGGCACATTCGGAAACACATTCGAGCATCTCCTCGAGGGTTGTTGCCTGCTTAGACTCTGGGTTTATGTTTCTCAGAGTGTCGGCCTCCTCTGCAAATTCGAAGGCATCACGAATCGTCTTAAGTAATGTTTCGACACTCTCATCACACTGGACCCGCTGTAGCAAATTCTGGCGGTAAGGTTAAAAAAATAACATTCCATGTACTTAGAAAAGACAAGGAGACGCACCTCGGGGATCTTTGAGAGCAGACTCCAAGCTAGCTTTGCATAAGGGTTCAGCTGCAGAGCGGAAGTCGTTTCAGCAAAGGATGGGGAAAAAAAAGAGATTGGGCATACTGCTGCAATTGGAGTGACGGCATCCATCACCAACTTGATAATTTTAACCGCACTTTTCCACGCTTTTATCGTATTGATCGCTTTGATAGCTTCCTCAGCGCTCTGGAGGCTGGCTGCAGTAGCTGATGCTGTGATCATCAGGGTAAGTGTGATGGGCTCTGTTGGATGTCCAGTATCATTATCAGCACTGAAAACAATA